ACAGCACGTGCACCCGGCGTGCCGCGGGTTCGCCCAAGCACAGGGCGGCCGCCCTGCCCGCAGGCAGGCAGCCAGGGAGCCTCTCACCTGCCGCTGGCAAGGCCACGGGGCTGCTGCCCGCCGGAGCACGGTGGGTACACTGCGCCAGCACGGCACCGGCAGAGGATGCTCATGGATTCCTCAGCTGCTTCTGGGAAGCGTCAAGCAGGAACACACCCCCATTACCCAAATGCAGACCGCTCCAGCAGCGCTGGGCAAAGACAGGGCGATCTCAGCGTCCCCCTGTATGGGCTCGGAGAATGTCCCCGCAGCCCCCGGAGCGTGGGACTCCCCGAAATCCCAGCGAACGCACAGTGCCAGTGCCCCAGGCCCCGGCCAGAGGTGCTGCACCCCCGCGCTCCCTGTCTCACACCCAGCGCGCCGGACCGGCACCAGCAGAGCCCTACCGGGACCGGTGCCACCGGCGGTGGCGGGGACGCAGTGCACGGGCGGCTGCACCGAGCCCCAGACCTGCCCCGGAGCGGGATACGCTTCCCCCGGGATAAGCTCCCGGAGCAGCTGGGGGAAGCTCCCCCACCTCGGAGCACGCCATGTCCTCCACCCCTGCTCCAGCCACCGAAACCGGCGGGTACCCGTATCCCAACCCGCGCTCCCTCTGCCGCGGCCGCAGGTGGCGGAGGGCGGCGAAAGGATGCAGGGACAGCGACGGGGGACGGACGGACACTGCCGGCAGCCCCCAGCCTTCAGTCCCCATGGACCAGGCATCACCGCCCGCAGGGGAGCACCAGGACCCCCGTCCCAGCGTATCCCAGCGCTGTGCTGCGGCCCTCCCGCCCCGGGGGGACTCCTCGCGCCGGTGTCGCCGCCGCCACCTCCCCCCCGGCAGGATAGCACCGGGCCCCCACCCCGCCTATAGAAAGGGCGCTCCGGTTCCGTGCAGGGTCCCCTGGCCGCCGCCGGCACGGCAGGCCTACTGCCGGCACACGTGGTGCCGCCGCGGGAGCCGCCCCGGCCTCCCTCCACGTGTCACAGCGCGGCCCGGCTCGCCCCGCCGCCGCTTACCTGCGGGGAGCTGCCGGCGCGGAGGGGCGGCTCGAGCGGGGCTCCGCCGCCCGCCAGCCCTCGAGGAGCCGCGCCGGCCGCGGCACCGCCGATCCCGGCCGCGGCCACGGTGGGCACCGCTCCGCCCCGCAGCGCCGCCATCTTGGCGCCTCCGCTCCCAGCGCGGCCACTGCCGGGCGCGACACGTGACCGCCCCCCGCCCTGCACTACAGCTCCCGGCAGACACCGCGCCCCGCCCTCGCGCGGGGCATGCCGGGAGCGCACCCCTGCGCAGCCGGCTGCGCGCCACAGAGCGGCCACCCGCCTGCAGGGCAAGCGCGGCCGGGGGGGGCGGCTGGCGGCCATCTTGAGAGCGGGCAGGCCCTCCGGCTTCAACGCCATGTTTGCGGCGGGAGAGGGCAAGGAGGGTGGGCCGCGCCCTGCGGCGCGCGATGGGCGGGGCTGAGCGGGCGTCATTGGCGGGAAGCGCCCAAGCGGGGCGGGGCTGCGGCGCGATTTCCCGCGGCCGCGGCGGGCTCTGCCGCACACGTGGGCGCGGCGACCCCGCGCGTCTGGGGTGGCCCAGGGACAGAGCTGCTGCGGGAGCGGTGCTTGTCTGTGCCCCTCGCAGCAGCGCGGGCAGTGCTTCACTGAGCCAAACCGGCGTGGGGTTGGCTGGGGGTACATGCACGTGTGGCGGGCAAGGGGGAAGGAGAATACGGTGGAAAGATAGGCACTGCGAGCTGTCCCGCAGGCTCCAGGCACGGCCACCACGCAGGGCTGAGTACCAGGCAGAAGCCCGTGTTTGGGCTTGTGCTGCTCTATGGGGCTGGCACGCAGAAAATTGCCTGGAGGATGCGAGAGATGAGAGGAAAAGCTTGGTTCATTTGTCCCATCCCTGGCAGTGTTCAAGGCCAGGCTGGATGGGGCTTAGAGCAACCTGATCTAGTGGAAGGTGTCCCTGCCCATGGCAAGGGGGTGGAAACAGACAAGCTTTAAGGTCCCTTCCAACACAAAGCATTTTGTGATTCTATGACACAGCTGCAGTCTGTGCCAGCTCCTCCAGGAGGGGCAGGGGGTGCTGGTGTTCCCAGCTCTTGGCCTGTCTCTGCTCTGGGACCCTTTGCTGAGAGTCCCTTTGGGTGCTGTCACCTCCTGCAACTTTTCCTTTGGCTCCTAGACAGCAAGATCATCTCCTGGGGTGCAGGGATGTGCTCACAGCAGCACAACAGCAGCTCAGATATGCACGTAGGAACTTGCCAGTGCAGGATTTGCCTGGGGGACCTAATTACCAGTCCCTGGGGGCATGGACCTCTCCAGGCCAGATTCCCTTGGGGATCCGCAGGATAGAGCTGCTTTGTTTAGCCTTGCATGCCTGGTCACTGAGCATGGGCACGTCTGACACAGCTCATCCTGCTGCTCTCCTTCATTCCACCCCTGCCACAAGGGACTTTCATCTGCAATTGTGCGTCCCACGCCACCTCCTGCCTCACAGGGTCTGTTCCTCCCTAGCAGCAAACAGGCTTTCACCCAGGGGAGCTGCTCCCCATCTCCTTTAACAAGCCCCTGGCACCTACCAAGCTTCTCACTGGAACCTCTGCCTGGCCAAAGCTCTGGCTGAGCAGCAGCCAGGCAGGTGGGTCCTGCTCCAGGGCTGTGGACCCGCATGTGAGAGCACCTGCTGAGTCCTGCATGTGAGTTAGTAAAGAGGGGTCTGAGCACACCCCTGGATGCTGGGCACAGGAGGTTGAGTTGGTCATAACAACAGGCTCCTTGGGCCAACGCTTGCCACTGGCAGTGCAGAGGAAGCAGGGAAGCTTGGAAAGCGCTTCGGGCTCTATCTGCACCCCAGGAGTGTTGCCTCTCTGAAAAGTAATTCTGAGCTCAGCATGTCTAAAGCAAGGAACAAGTCACTTTGGTAAAACCTATGACCCAGCATTTGGGGTCCTGCTGACAGGGATGCAGAGTGATGTTGGCCTCAGAACTTCCTTTCCTCCTCCTGCTCCAAACTGTCCTCTCCTTCCATGTCCTCTCCCTGGAGCACATCTAGGGTGTGCAGTGACCTGCCTAATTGCTCCATGCCTGCGTGTGGCAGGACCCTGCGGCACTGTGAGGCCTGTCCCTCACAGAGCTTGCTGTAAGCCCTGCACATGGGATCACATCTGTACATGGCATCCCTGGGGTGTAAGCAGAAAGAAAACTACATGTACCTCTCCACTGCAGCTGGACTCACAGTGGGGGTGCTCTCCCGGCCCAGGGGCAGCACCAGACACTCCTATTGGTTTACAAGGCAAAACAAACAACAGGCAGAAAGAAAAATGCGCAAGTTGCATCCCAGCTCTGCAGATCCCCTCCCTGCACGGGTGTTGATTGTATCCCTGGCGAGGCAGACCTATGAATAGACCATCCTGATGCTGCACCTAAGGCACACAGCTTGCTCCAGGCTAATGGGAACAGCCTGCAAAGGAGAGCTCTAACCCGTGTGATGCTTAAAGGACACTCAGTGAAGAGGAATGTGAGTCCCACCCGGGCAGGAGCAGATGGGCTGGTTCAGCAGGGAGAAGGGGCCCAGACTCCCCAGGCAGTCTGTTCTGCCAGGACACTGCTCCCACCGTGGGGCTGGGGCTGCATCTTGGCAAGGGTGCAGAGGGACAGCACCCACCTCCACAGATGGGTCTGCTGGGGCCACACCAGGCTCTGCTCCGGCTGCAGGCTTGCAGAGTCCTGCAGAGCTGCATGGGGCTCCTCTTGAGAGTGGTGGTGCTCATGGGGCAGATGGTGCTGCTTCTGCCCTGGCATCTCTCTGGCCCTCGTCCTGGGAAGGTGGAAGGATATAGTGATATTGCTCCGTGGCACCGGGTGCAGCGCAGACGCCAGCAACCCCTGCCATCTGCACACAGCAAACACCAGCCATTGACCTCCCCAGCTGTGCCACACATCCTGCAAACCCTCCTTCCAGCCTGCCCCCGCTCTGGGCTGCCTGGCCCCTTCCCTACCATTCACCCTTCTCCAGCCCAGTGGTGCCCGGGGTGAGGGACTGGTACCAGCTCTGTGCACACTCATGGTAAACAGCCATGCTGAGCACTCTCTGTCGCGTTCCCCGGCCTCCCGGGCGGAGACAGCTACCGGCTGCCCTGGGATGTTGATGTGTGGGGCCCTGGGCTCGCATGGTGTATTCATCACTGCCCCTGCGCTTGTCCCTCCACCATCTCCCTGGCTCTTTCCCCGCCTCAGCAAAGAGCCGCCGGGGCCGAGCTTGCTGCTGGCGCGCAGCCGGGAGCTCCAGCCCGGGGCCTCTGCAGGGCCCCGGGGAGAGGCGCTGCGCTCCCCCGGGACGGGGTGGGGTGGGGGAGGCTGGCAGGGGAGAGGCTGATCCACCCGTCACCTCCCGGGGGAGGACCGGCCCCGGCGGGTTACCCAGCCCGCGGCGCTCTCAGCCCTGACCCATGGAGGCTCGGGGGCTGCGCTCCGCGCTGCGGTCCCCTCCCTCCTGCGGCGGCCGCAGACCGCTGGGGAAGCGCCAAGGTGCGGGCGCCTCCTCAGTGCTGAGGGGCCTCTGTGCCTCCCCCCTACCGCTCACAGTGCCCAGGGCCGGGCCGGGTGCCACAGGGCCTGGCGGGGCGGAAGGACGAGGACCAGGGCTTGAGGGCAGCCGCCGGTGCCTGACATGGCGGCGCCCCCGCCCTCAGGGTGACGCGGGGAGGGGGGGGGGAAGCGTGGTGCGCGCTCGCGCGTGCGCGGCACCGGGACTCTGTGGGGAACGCGCACGCACATAGCGCGCACGCGGCCGCCAGGGGAAGGGGGGGGGGGAGAAACGGTACGTCTCGCGCATGCGCAGAGGCGCGCCCGCCCGCCCGCCGCCGGCGCAGCCGCCCCCGCTCCCGCTCCGCCGCCGCGGCCCCCGCCCCGCCCGCCCCCGCTGCCGCCGGTCCGCGGCGCGCCCGCCCCTGGCCGTGCCCGCGGCCGCGCGGGGTTGCCCGCCGGAACCCGCGGCGCGCCGCTCATGCGAGACCCCCGCGGCCCGGGCAGCGCGCAGCGACCCCCGGCCGGGCCAGGCATGTGAAGATGTCAGTGGGCTGTGCATGCCCTGGTGAGTGCCGCGCGGCGGGGACTGCCGGGGGCTGGGGGCCCGTTATGGGGCGGGAGCCGCGGTGGTGTTGGGGTCTGGCTGTGGGGCTTGGGGCACCGTGGCGTTGGTGTTGGTATTTGGTTATGGAGCTGGGTCTCCGAAGAACGGGACTGGAGTCCAGCTATGGGGCTGGGGTCCCCCCTGCGTTAATGCTGGTGTTTGGCTGTGGGGCCGGGTCCCCGAGGCACAGCTACTGGGAGCTGGCTGTGGGGCAGGAAACAACTCGGCGCGGGTGCTGGGATTCGGGGCTGGGGTCCAGCTGTATATCAGGGGTCAGCGAGGTGTGGGGGCTGGGGTCCTGGCACTGTAGTGTAGCCACTGGGTGCAGCCACAGGGATGTGGTGCCCATGGTATGGCTGCTCTGGTCTAGCTGTAAGGGCTGAAATCTGCAGGGTGCTGGGGTCTGGCTGCAGGGCTGGTACTCCACCGCATGGGTCCTGGAGTCCCCTTAGTGTGGATGCTGAGCTCTGCTCATGGAGCTGGGACCCAACAGCATGTGTGCTGGTGCCCCACACTACGGGTGCCAGTAGTAACCCCAGGGCCGGGACCCTGCAGGCAGGGTGCTGCGGGGACACTGGGCAGGTGTGCAGTTAGCAATGTGGGGGGTAACCGTGTAACCTTAGACCCCCATGGCCAGGGCAATAGCTCTGTGGGGTGCCCCTCTCCCCACGTGGGTATGGGGCACAGGGTCCTTGGAGGGGCTTGGGCATGCTGCTGGTAGGTGTGGGTGCCCCCCTCATGGCTATGCTGGGGTGTCTCCACTACCCTGGCCCCCATGGGCTGGCAGGGCTGCTGGGGTACCCTGGAGGTGTGACGAGTTGGTGAGGTCTCAGCACTGGTCAAGGGTACTGCCGTAGGGATGCTCACCCTGAGGCCTGGGGCAGGTTTGGGGATGCTGTGCTGGCTGCATCGCCTGCTGCTGTGTGCAGGATGTTGCTGGGGGCAAGTCAGGGCAGGGGTACCGCAGGGCTGCTGGAGCCTTCTCCAGCACCAGCTCCCAGTGGAAGGCCCCAGGGAAGGGGCTCTGCTCTCCCTGGGCAGTCAGCACTTGGGGTCCCTCCAGGGGAACAGCAGGGACGCCTCTCATCCCAGCTCCTTTGACAGTGTTCCAGTGCCTGGTGATCCTGAGAGCCTCCTGCCAGGCTGGGACCCTCATGCTGGGGGGGCAGCGGGATGCAGTGACAGTACATGGTCCCTGTGCACCCCCCAGCGCTGCCTCCACCGAGGGGTTTGCAGCTACACCCTGGTGCGGGCAAGGGGTGCCCCTGCGCGGCGGCCCCCCCTCCCGTGCGCTGCCTGCGCCTCTTCGCCGTGTTTCCATGAAGGCAGGCGGCCCCTTCCCCCATCCTCCTCCTCCATCTCCCACTGGAAGCTGCCAGAGCGCTGCTTCCTCAAGCAGAAAGTCACGTGAACCTCCCTGCGAGCCAGGCCGAGCAGCCACAGCACCCGCACGGCAGGCACCCCGCACCCCGGGGCTGGGACCCCCTTCCCGGCACCCCCAGCCTTGGCGTCCCCCCCTGGGCAGAGATGAAGCCAGAGTGGCTGCGTCTAACGGCAGAGCCCTTCGCATCCCCCGGGAGCTGGCCCCGTGCCACCGGGAATGTCATCGCCATGTTGGTGGGCGCAAAGAGGGGGGGTCCTCCCTCCACGCAGTGACAGGGAGGGAGCCGAGGGGTGACCCCGCCGCTGGGAGCATCCCTGTGGATGGCTTCGTGTGGTGGTGGTGTCGCATCCGTGTCCCCCGGTGCTGGAGGACACGCGGGTGCGTGTGGTGTGTGTGCACTCGCGGGTGCCCCCGCCGCTCCCCCCGCTGCCCGCCGGGGCTGGGTGGCACATCCAGAGCCTGCGCCCCCCTCCCCCTTCCCCTCCCCGGACTGTTTATCGGAATATAGAGAAAACAAGCTCTGCCGCTGGCCTCCCGCCAGCCAGAAACATTTAATGAGCCGCTGCCCAGCCTGCTCTGGGGCTGCATTAACTTGGAGGAGTTTCCTGCCTGGGAGCTGCTGCTGGGGGGGGGGGGGTTCTCAGCCGTGCCCCCTTAGAAACTGTGCCCTCCCAGGCGGGTGACACGGTCCCTGCCGTGCCAGGGATGCATCCTGCCCCACTGCGGCTCCTCTTGCACCCCTCTCAGGGATGTTTCACTGCTCCTCACCCTGCTCTGCAAGAGCTTTGGGGCAGGGAGGTGCTGCTTAGCCGGGAACCTGCTGTGGTTCTTGTGCCTGAGGGTGGTGGGGAGCTGTTGGGGTCAGTGGGGATGGGGGGGCTTTGGCCCCCACCCCAGAGATAGAGCTGTGAACAAGGAGAGCGTGGCAGGCTGGGTGGAGGAGGCACAGCAGCCGTGGTACCGGGGTGCCAGGAGCAGGGCTGGCTGCTCGGTTCAGCCCTTTGCAGTGGGCAGGCCTTGGCATCCAGACCCTGGTGGGGTCCTGGCCCCTGGGGTGCTGCTCTCCCAGCATGCACCACGCTGTCTTTTGTAATCTTTTATTATGATCATTATTTGTCCCCCTGTAGTGTTGGTGTCGGTGAAGAGGGGGGGGAGGAGGGGAGCAGAGCCCTGTTCCCCCCCCTGCAGGGATGGTTCCTGCTTTGGCTTCATGGCAGGGAAGCGATGTTCCAGAGGTCAGCACCTTCCCTAGGCTGCCTCACAGGGAGCCTGCCTGCGCAGCCCGCGGGCAGGAGGGAGGACTTCCCAACCCACGCGTTTCAGGTCCCAGGATGGATGTGCCCGGCCAGGGGACAGCCCTTTGCCATTTCCCTCCCTTGTGCGGGGCTGGTGCTGTGCATCCCCCGCCGTCACGAGGCCGAGCTGTGCCACATGCCTCCTGTGACAGATGCACTGGGAGAGGGATGGCAGGCTCAGCACTGTGGCGTGGGGGTCAGGCAGCCCCAGTGCGTGTGGGCTCTGGCTCTGAAACAGCCCCTGGGGCTGCCTGGCACCTTGGGATGCACATGGGTGTGCTGTGAGCGAGTCCCAAGGCCTCATCCTGCACGTCCATGTGCTTTTGTCCAGGCTCTCTTCGTGTTGCTCGTGATGCTTGGGTAGACCGTGCCATCTACCCCACTCTCTTCTGTGCAGTAAAGTGGCTGCCCAGGAGATGCCACTTGCATCATGTTGCTTGCCTGTACCTGGCACTATCTGGCAAAGTCAGGATGGGGTTGTGGCTATGTGGTGCTTGACAAAATGTTCCTCAGGGTTTTGGGCACTGGCTTGAGGCTGAGCACATGGCAGCACTCCCTGGGGTCAGTGCGAGCTCACCCTGCTGCCAGCTCCACTTTACCCAGGGAAATGTGGATGGGTTAGTGGTGGGCTCAGCACCGGGTGCTGGTGCCAGGCTCTGATTTTACTCCAGAAATGGTATTGTCTGCTCAACACAAAGCTGCTGTGAAAGCTGCTCCCTTGAGCAGTGGGTGCATGCAAGAGAGCAGGATGACACCCCCAGGGCAAGCAGTGCTCGTAGCCAGCAATGCAGGGGCTGCACGCCCCCAGTCAGGGCAGGTACCTCCTGCCCATCCCCTGTGTGTTCAGCTCACTCCTGCCACCTCCTTCCCCACTGTGCTGTGGGATTCCCCAGCCACATCCTTGTTGCTTGCACACACAAGGTGCGGAGCTGTGTCCCGTGCCAGGAGCGCGCTGGCAGCACGTGTGCCTATGCTCGACGGCTGCTGGTGCATCCTGGGGCAGGATGTGCCCTGTGCAGACACAGGACGTGCATCTGTGCATGGCTGGCACAGCCTGTGACAGCCCCCAGCTCCGTGAAGGGTGACACAGGTCCTGTGGGGCTGCCATGTGCATGGTGTGGGTGCAGCTCTTCTTTACCTTCTGCCCTGGGGCAGCTGGGCTGGGTGCCCCCTCCCCGGGTGGTGGTGGGTTCAGGCGGGATGGGGCTGGTGACGGTTATCGGCCTGCCTGCAGGCTGAGGCTGTGGTTTCCTGCCGGTGCCAGGGGTAGGGTGCTGGGGAGCTGGCAGGGCTGCCAGGGGGTTGCTGGGCCCCTCCTGGAGCAGGGATGATGGCAGCCATCCACCCAGGACCCCTGGCCTCTGTCCTGGGGGTTCTGCTAGGCAGGGACGGGGTGGCCACAGCAGAGGTGATGTTGGCAATGTTTTGGGAGGTTTGCTGCAACGTGGGATGTCCCCCTTGGACAGGGGTGCTGGTGGGTGTCAGGAGGGACAGGGTTCCCACAGAGCTGTCAGATCAGTCCCCCCCCCCCATAGCTTCTTGTCCCCTTCCCTCTCAGGCAGGTCACTGATGGGGGCAAACGTTAGACCCAGGGCATAATCTCCCCTGTTGCAGGCATCAACCCCAGCCCGGCCCTGATCCCACCCTGCCCGTGCGGTGGCTGATAACTCCCTGTCCACACCCCTCTTTAGCTCCTTTCTTGGGGGGGGGGGGGGCTGTGGGGTGTAGCTCCCTCCCCCTTTGCAGGGTCTTGCTCTGACCCTGGCTTTGCAGGATCCGCAGGCAGGTCCCAGAGGTCCCTTTGCACCAGGGTGACAGTGCCTTTCCCCAGGATGGCCCCACAGTGTGGGGGTCACAGGCATGAGCCGGGGGGACAGGGACAGAGCCCTGCTTTCTGTGGTAGTGTCGGCCCCATCCCTGCTTCTACACACCGAGGGGCTGGTGCTGGGAGCACAGCCAGGTTTGTGGAGCCGGGCTGGGACGCAGTGGGCAAGGGCTGTGGGGTGTCAGCCCCCCGCGGCAGGGGCAGCTCTGCACCCTCCTGCTCTGCACCAGCCGTTTGTGCCACCCTCTGCTCCCCCATGCATGCTCCTCCAGCCAGGGCCGCGCACGGGGCTCCCCTCGAGGGTCGGGGCTACCCCTGCCCACCCTCCCTTCCCCTGCATGGCGCTGGGAGCAAGCTCTTGCGCTGCCTCCTCGGCAGTGGAAGGAGATGGCAGCACACCGCATGGCGTGCACGCAGCTCTGCCGGGTACGGGGCAGGCCCGGGCACCCCGACCTGC